ACTTTAAGAGGTCGCGTCGCTGCTAGCGTAAGGTGCCAGCCGCCACCTCCATCCCTTCCACGAGCGAAAATAATAGAATGCTCTGGGTCTGTAGCGATCCACTCGGGCCCACTGGGGATTGCATCGCTGTCCCCGCCGTGATACAGCAAAGTACCCATTAGAATCACTCCTGGTACTATGTTATGTCCTACAACAAAGGTGGGCCGTTTTTCCAGCGTCAGCAAGGGGCGAAAACTTACCATTACGATACCGAGTATTTGGCCAGTGTTGCAGGAATGAATGGACAGTGTCGAAGATCAAGTTCCCTGTCGCGTTCTCGGGAGGACCTTCGTCAAACCTCCATTGCTCAGTGTTCGAACTGAGACTATATGAAGGTGCATTCAAGTTGATGATATCTGATGGTTGAACGCAAGTTTCTCCAGCAGTGTCGACAGGAAATTGGACGTGCAGTGCTAGAGCTGCTGACCCTAGGCTCAGAGCTGCCACGAGAGACCGAGAGCGCATGGTGAGAGCTGTCAAATAGACAATATTGGCGTTATCGCAGCTTTATCAAGGCACTGCGTGGCAACATTTGCTGCGGCGGCACCAGTATCTCAGTATGTAGGCGTCTACGAATGAGTTGACTCATCAGGGCTCCGATACCCTCGCCTCTCCTACGGATGAATAGTAAACGGTTGAATAGAACTTGATCAAAGTGTGGAGAAGTACATACTCAATCGGAAAATGGCAGACCGTATCTATTATAATTAGTAATATCTATCGCGGAGTCGGTTACATCCAACTGTCACAATGCTCACATGTCACGAACTTCGAGTCTGCACCGTGTTCTTCCGAGTATGTATATAGAGAGGTACGACTACTACTTTCCTTCGTTCGACTAAGGTCTGTCTATGACTACTAAATACTAAGATGTAGTGCAACAAGGCTACTAAGATTCACCTTACCAACTTGGTGAGCTTGTGGTGGAGAAAACATACGCGGAGGAAGACAGTCGTGCACCGTTCCTCTCTACTAGCAACAACAGGAGAGTATCGGTAAGATTTCTGATTTCCAAGATTGTGGTGCCACCATGATATTTTGAAGTATACACATCACTGTCTTAATTATCTAAGACTTTGCCAAGCAGATCTCACACTGGAGGCAGAACGTTTTACCACACGAGACTTCGAACGACACCGCGTTGGTGCCACATACGTCTGCAGAGACTGGTGCGAGCTATATGATAATGTCGCTGTCAATTGGCGAGACCGCCAACTTGCTGCCATTAGCGAGCTGCCGATGTACTTTGCGAAAGTCCATTGCTTACCTGCTAACGCGAGTGGAGGGGACGCGGTCATTTGCAAGAATGGTACTATCTGTTTGTCACGATTGGGAAAAGGTTGAAACCAGGACATTTATCACATTTAATCTTCCACAAGACTATACTGTTGGGAAGCGAAAGTTGTTGACGACAGTATGGATATGATAGGCAAGATCCACATACCAACTTTTACATATTTTCAGTGACAAGGACGTACTGGATAATTGAATGACTCACTGACTGTCTCTAGCATTATGGATAGGCAGCGCCTTCTCAGCTGGCAGCCGACCCGACCACACGTCAGCATCAACGGTTCACAAACCCCTAATTGGGGGAATTGTTCCATACACCCTCTTCTTCCAAATGCACGCGACTATAATATCTCCAGGGTCCTGACGTCCATCATGTCGTGCACACAAGTCACGTGTTTCACCTGCGCCATGATATTGTGATCCGACGAGATTCTCTTGTACTCCCCACCACGCTGCTGCGCTAGCAAAAGTGCGCTAAAAGGCTGTCCAAGGCTAACAATCAACCCTAACTCTCGTGACCGAGAGTCCAAATCAACGTGTGCATGTTCTGCAGAAGAGCCGCCGAGCGAATCATCCAATAGGGACTCGAGCTCGGACCCGTTCACGTTTTCTGCATCATCTGCAAAGTCAGGCAGCCCGAGGTGGTGTCGATTCCAAGGACGAACGAGCAGGAATGACTGCCGAGTGGGCTTTGTCCGCGAGAACTGAATCAGTTTGTCTTCGGTTGTGATGAGCAGGTCTTGAAGGCCGTCTGCCTTGACATCATAAGTGAAAACTGATTGTCGGGTTTGACCGCGCCTCCGTCTGACTTCTGTGACAATAAATACGATGCAAGGGAGTTGTAGTCTGGAGTTCGCGAAACGAGGAGCACTGAGGCTATCAAGGAGGGTATACAGTTTCGAAGCCGGCTCCACAGCAACAGTATTTCGCAGCACGGAGACAGATATCTGCATTTTGTCTTCGGATAGAGGTGGTGGCGTGCATGGCGGAGCTTTGTAGGAGGTAAGATCAGCTGGGAGACAGCTATTAAATTTGGATGATTTTCCGACCCAGTCAAGGGCAGTAATGTCGCCCGAATGAGCTATAATCTCCTGTAAGAGACGCCCGAGTGCGTTTTGTTTCTTCTCTCCGTAGATCACAGGAAGATAAACGCCGAAGATGCCAAACAGTGAGTAAGCGATGTCCTCCTGCAACGTAGTGACTCGGTGCGACGCCCATTGAAGTTTTTCTCGGGCGTTTCTCATCCCCGGACGGAAGGCGACGAGCGCCTGTGCATTTATACCTGTGGAAACTTCCAACTCCTGCATGATAGTGATAGACTCCTTGTGATTGGGTGAGCGGTCGTCAAGATATAGGGTCCAATCTGCCTGGTAGAAGAGAACAATGTTAGGAGCGAGGAACTCCTGAACCGTCCATCCTCGCGTGGTCCAAGAGCTTCTTGCCAGTGCGCCATACTTCGACGAAGCCGGAACATCCGATAGGTATACGATGGTGAGTGCTGAGTGGCGATACCAAATGAACATGGAATTGACAGATTCTTGGAGCTCAACATTGTTGTTCTGGTCAATGCAGCATGTATCGATCCACGCCCAGCGATACCCTGCATCACGAGCAACCCCGCAGAACTTCTGTAACTTCACCATAGTGCCGACTGGATCTAACGTGTACAGGTCCTTGTCCTGGATATCAGGCAGCCGCGGCTCCTTTCTTTTCCACCTATGCGATAACATGACCCAACTGAAGTACTTCGCGACTGCTTCTGTGATGGGCTCCGTTTCGAGGGGCGTCATTGATGATAACAAGATCTCCTTGTATTCTGTGCTTGTCATAAATTTGTCGAGCTGTGCCTGTCGGTCACATAAATGCCCAGTGAAGGTATCAACTAGCCGAAGTGGGGCGTTTTCCAGTTGAGCGTGAATGGCTCTTCGAATAGCGTCATCTGCGTCGGATGGACTGACATACTGCAGGCGCAGCTCTGTAGGTAGAAGGTGATCTTCAAGTCGGCGCAGGAGTTATCCGGGCTTACGTCGTATATGTGGGTCAGGTGCATCATCCAACTTGGAGAGCATGATTTTGAAAGCTTCGATTGCCTCGTCATAGCGTTGTAAGCGATGAAGCGCTGCATGCTTCAACTCGTACCCACGGTAAGACAAAGGGTTGAGTTCAATGACCTATGCATCGGCAGTATCAGCACAATTGCGAGAGCGATGATGGATATCCGTCCACACCATTTCCGCGTCGGAAAGTGCATCCGGATAGAGGTTTCGCCCCAACTTCGCTTTACTGCGGTTTGCAAAAAAGGAGTTGTACGAGGAATCCAACGCGAATGCTGCGGACAGTGTATTCTCAATAGACCAGAGTTGAACCTTTCCTTCGTCATCTCCACTAACGAGAACATCTCCATTGGGAGAGATTGCGGCAAACCAAACACGGGCTGTGTGCTCGAATGCCTTTCCTATTTGCTGGTGTGACTTTGTGCTCCACAACCGCACAGTCTTGTCGCACGAAGATGTAGCAATGAAGGTGCCATCAGAAGAGATGGCGAGCGATTCGATGGAGTCAGTATGACCGATGCAAGGTTTACCGATCTGGTCTCCATTCAATGAGTTGCAAAACTTGACTGTGTGGTCGCTTGATGCGGAGACAAGTTGTTGGCCGTCAGGTGACCAAACAACACTTGTAATCAAATCTTGATGAGCGTTGATATCGAGAAGAAGTTCGGCGTTATCGGTCCGCCAAACCTGGATGGTACCGCCCAACGACCCGCCGGAGGCTAACTTGAGCCCATCTGGACTGAATGCTACACTCAAGGCCCAGCTACTGTGACCGTGGAGAGTTGTGAGGACAGCACCAGTCTCCGCATCCCATAAAACAATCATCGAGTCCAACGACCCACTAGCGAGTCTCCTGCCATCGGGGGAAAAGCACACCGAATTCACCCAGCCCGTATGCTTCACCAGCGGATCGAATACCATCTGCCTTGTCTCAACGTCCCAGATGATGATGGTTTTATCCTTTCCACCGCTCGCAATTCGCTTATTGTCTGATGATACGGTGACTGATTGTACCTTGTCCTTGTGTCCCTCGAATGGCTCTCCTACCAATTCTCTGCTCTGCACGTCCCAAATTCGCAGGTTCCTTGAGCCAGTGACGACCCGTCGGCCATCTTTGAAGAACGCCACTGCCGACACTGCGCTCGTGTGCCATCGTATCGTCCGCGATGATGGTGGTTGTGTTGGCTGCACCGGCGTCGCCGGCCCTCTCACACCAAGACACGCTTGCTTTGCGACATTAAGCACTCCTGGCATGTCGCGTTGACCTAGAAAGAGCGAGATTAGTTTGTCAATTGCATTTGAAGGTTGACGATGAGCGTGCTTTGGGGATGACTACGTTGCGGATCTTGTTTGGGGTGAGTAGTGCTGGATAATCCAACGCATGTAGACGCAGGCTTGGTTTTTTCTGATCCAATTTATGTCCACGGTTAAGGCTCGAGTGTTGGCTCCGTATGCCACGGTGTGCCAATGCACGGTCAGCCGGTCCGGATGCTAATTTTAGCCCATCTAGGCTGGGGACTTCGACCAATATTTCCGAATGAAAGTACAGCGAATTCGAGAATAGAGACATGCTCGAGGGCCGTCTTCGAACTTGGAGTCTGTGTATGATGGTGTACCCGACCGCTACTTCTGACTGTCGGTTTTCTTAGTCAACCATGAACTTCATCCTACATCTACCAGATCAAAGCCTACCTGTAGTAAACATTACTTTCAAAGTAGAATGCAGGCCAACACCAAGTGTCACCAACTAAGAGTCCCCGCGCAACCCAGACTCCCATATCTCTCTAACGCCCTCCCTAAACCATACAACATTCCACTCCACCAAACCCCTGCGCACCTCATACACTGTCGTCGGAAGGAGTGCCAGCAGTGCGAGGTGCGGCGTGACAAGGTGGTATGTGAGCGTCGTCCCTGGGCGTGAGGGTGATAGCGACGTAGCTGCAGAGGGGAAGAAGTGAGGTTTTGAGGGTGGAGCGGGGGATGTCGATAAGGTGGTGAGTGGTGGTGTTCCAGCGGGAGTGGTACTGGAGGTGGGGGTCGATGTAGTGGCTGTGGGTGGGGGCGTTGGCGCCGGTGTTAAGGAATGTCGACTCATCTGTGGATTGTTAGAGTTGGACCTAGTGGGATGGATTAGGGTGGTAGGGTGTTGTGTTTTGCGTACGTACCTGTACAGGGGTCCAAAAGAGTTGAGCATGGATAAGTAGTCGCAGCAAAGGTTGTGCGTGGCTTGGTCTACTGGTGACGAGTCTGTTGCAACGTGGATTTTACTGGACGTGTCGAATAGGAAAGCCTTTGGGGATGCTGTATTCTGTGAGCGATTAGAATGACCCGTGGAGACAAGTGGCATTGAAGGCACATACAGAGCAAAATACGTTTAATAGTTCTTCGAGATACGGTAGGGAGTAGATCAATTTATGAAGCACGCGAGAGAACGCCTCTCGGAGAGAATGGTCATATATGGAGGTGAGATGAAAATTGAGAGGGAATTGCTCAAATTCAGGGGATTCATCTACGAGGCGGTCCATGACGCGTTCGTGTATCTGGCGGAAGTTTTCTGCGTGCTGTTTCAGTTACGCGAGCAAAGAATGGATGCGGGATTGGCGTACCGATCTTGTCATCCTCTTGAAGCCTCTCCGCTTTGTGCACGAATACCTCAAAATTTATGTCTGGGTTGACCTGACATGCTGCGACGATGAATTCTACGAGCTTTGAGACGGGATGTTGGTACAGATCCTGTGCATCTAGATGAGGATGGCGGTCAGCGGCTAAATGCAGTGCACATACTCGAATGTCTATGACGAAGACTATAGTAGAAAAATCAAGGAGAGATGCGCCGAGTGTTTCGACGGTGACGTTTCCTGGACAGTCCCATATCTCCAATGGGATGACGGTACTAAGAGACGGTGGTCAGTGTGCTGGGCGCAAGCAGAAGTCAGGGATGGGTGCATACTCAATGAAATGCTTTGCGACGCGCATGGTGGGCTCGAGGTAAAAGGTTTGTTTGACAGGGAGATCCTCAAAGAGGACTTGAAGTATTGAGGTCTTTCCGCTCCTGTGATAGGTGAAGACCAGCAAAGGGAGAAAACGTAGAAACTCACCTTCTCATGCCCAGAAAGAGTACTTTTGTCCTACGTATGGTTCCATTGGAGTTTGCGCTCGAGGAAGAGCTCATTGCTAATGCTGAGGCTGCTGGTGCAAACGTAAGTTTACTAAATTAAAGTGCTGTCACCGTGACTGGCAGAAGGGGTGTGTGCATATATTTGTCAAGAGCCTTTGAATTCAACAAACACAAACACATCGCGCTGTGGGACAATTGAGTCACAGCCCGCGATACTGCACTTTGGCTACTTTGATCATCTGATGATATCATCGACAGCCGCCAGACCATCTGTCCAGGCATGCTGATCGCCTCGCATGCATCGACCAATCTCACCGCCGTACCATCAATATACCACGCGTATCCTGTGTTTCTCAGTTACGATGGTCACAGTCTAACTTTTACAGAATTCAAGTCCATGTCCGCCATCAGCCGTGGATCTTAAACCCTGAACGTAGTGCCCCCTACTAAGATACAGCAATCCTTCCCGCTTCCGTTGTTGGATGTTTTCGTATGCTGGTACTCCTGTGAACTAAATCCATGTTTGTGTACAGGAACCCTGCTATTCATCTGCGGGATACCTTCAGCGGCTTTTAAACCAACGCCGGTCCCTGATGACTTTTCCGTACAGCGCGTGTAGCTCACAATATAAGAGTAATTGCCAAGTTGTGCTGACTCAATATCCTAGGTGCGTTATGTTGGAATAATCCATGGTGTGTATGTTTGGAAGGCTAAGCAAACGACGTCGTGCTAATCGGTTATTCCACAATCAGTATCAACATACCGAGTTTGTCTCCTCGCATTTCCCGTGTTGTCTTCTGACCGGCAGCATACAGTGAATCGGTAAGGTTGAAAAGGCAGTCTTTCGCGGGTTTATTGTCGCACAGTCCTGCAGGACTTTTGGAAATATTGCAAGCGATGAATTGGAAATTACATGATTTTGTGAGGTCTAGATGAACTGACACACGCGTACGGAGGAGTCTACCGATGCATAACTGGACAGCAGCTGAGCGCTGCATGATCAATGCCGCATCATGAAATGAGGAGCAAATTCGGAATAGCGGCATTAGATATCGACTCCGGCGCGACTCCGACTGAATCCAACCATAAACGTTCTTAAGCACCTTCCTCATTCAGTTAAATCCAAAAATAAGCCTACTACACCTTGTCGTAGGTCCTTATCACTGAGGGAGAGGTCAATCCTTCAGTGAACGTTGACCATCGAAGTGATCTGTGTGTTGTGATATTTTTAATCAAAACAACGATTCGCTAAAAAGCATTTCCCAAGATGACGCCATCCAGCAGGTGAGGTGTCGTTGAATACTCTTGTCGTTGATGCTAATGGTGCGCAGTCCCCCCCCACCTTACTATCCTAGGTGTGTGCCTTGGTGGTTGATGCTTGATGGATGATGACAAGTCTTGCAGCTCGTCAGAGATAGACCCTCTGATAGGGCTCAGCAAGCCTTCTCGTCGCCGTCAACATCTATTAGCGTTCATCGGTCCCTTGGCTACATTTGCCATTTTTGCAATATTTTTCTCCCTTGGCCCTTCAAACGACCCGTTAGATCCAGATGTTCGAGATCGCATTCGCAAGGAATGGGACATTGAGCTTCGTCAGCACCAGGAAGAAGTTCTCAAGCGCATTGACACTCAGAAGCGCTGGCGTCTTGAAGACCATGACAGAATTATTCTCCGCGAACAATGGGGAACGGAAGTGGAAGAACATAACCATCAAATAGAGGTGAGGAAAAAGCGTGAGGAAGAAGAAAGAAATCGTATTCGCGAACGATGGGGAAGAGAAGTAGAAGGGCACGATAGGGAAGTGGAGGAGAGACGGAGGCGCGAAGAAGAAGAGCGCCTGAGGTTGAATATGTTTTGGACCGACTTGAAGTCCCACACGTGCACGTCATACGGCACTCGAGAGTACACTGCCCGACTGGTGAATGTGCCATCAAATTACAACCGCCGCGTGGAGGCTTGCATGGCCACGAAGGTACAGATCCACGGGACTGAGTACACTCCCAAGTGGTGCGAGGATCATGTGGGTTATCCTGCATTTCTTGGTAGTATGAGCCGCTGATTTTCTCGTTCAGGGTCCAAACAATGTAATAGGTCATTGGGAAGTCGACCAGCATGAGCCGGATTGCGCATCCTACTGGAGTTGGTACAAAGATTATGTTTGTCGATCCATCAACTTCTCGTCTGCATATTTGCAACTTATTAAATATCACAGGGCTGCATCTCTCCTGGATCCGGTCAGCGAGTGAGTTTCTCAGGCACGATACAGTGAGCGAAGTTGACGATATACAGCGTATTGAACACTACCTCGAGAACCTCCCGTCCGGAGGTGATTGGAAGGAGTTCTGTGCTACCACTCCTGTAAGCTTCCGTGGGATGCATTTTATGGGGGCAGAATTCTGCTTCCAAAAGGTTCGCTGCTCAGCTACATCAACTGTGACACGATTTGTTGATTCCTTCCAGAACTATGGCACATACGGCAACTGGGTCTTTGATGACGAGAGCTGCAACTAGCCTAGTGACGATGATGATTCTGTGTTGGCTGAGGGAGATATTGTCTTGGGCGCTTGGCATGTTGATTCGCTATCTTTGTTGTAAATCCGTTGTATATAACACGCTGTATTTTTTATGCATTTGGTTGGTTTGGTCGACCTCACCGTCTCAGGCCCACTACGAAGCATAGGATCTGGTGGAGTCAGGGAGGGATACGAATAGTTCGTATGGTGACAACATGGTACTACAAACTTGAGCAACGTGACAGCAAGTGATCATTTGGAGTATGTAACAAGACAGGTGTCGCATGTCGCATGAAGCTGACGGCTTCAGACCGGCTACTAAAATGCTGGAGCGTGAATGAGATGTTCCTACATGCGCTGGTCAGTTGTGAGTCTAGAATCTTCTTGGAAACACACGAACCGTTGCAAGTTTCTGGCCTTCGGATAGAATAGTGAGGCAAGAAGGCAGACCCTTCAAACACCACTGTCTTTCGAGCCAGAACAGGAGATGATGATTCCAGAATGACTTGAATACATGGAACAGCCTCTCGTCCCATGGATTCGGAGCTCGCGAGAGATGGACAGCCCAGTTTTGATTTGCATATTTCAGGGCATCGGAAGCTGTTCGACTTTGTGCGTGTGCTTTGTATGCGAAACTCGAAAAGGCCTCCATAGCACGGATGACCTCCGTATGTGGAGAACGACCTTGTGGCAATGCAGAGGTAGAGCGATCCTGGTGCCTTAATGCCAGGAATGCCGGAAACATCAAGAAATCCGGCAGAGTCTTGAACTGTTGGATTGCCTGAAAGGCTGGCGGTAAAGGCAATCCTGGGGAGATTGTGTACTCTCTAATTGCTTCCAATGTATTTAGGAATTCTTCCATCGTCACCCAGACAGTCGTCAAACGCCATGCTTGACCATGCGGCGTCTGCAGCCAGTCCCGCCCGTCCTTGGTCTGTAGCCAGTCTCTCCCGCTGGTCTGCAACCAGGCTCGCCCGCCCTCAGTCTGCAGCCATTCTTGCCCGTCCGCAGACCTTGACCAGTCTCGTCCACCTGGGGAGTGCAGCCAGCCGCTCCCCCCCCGGAATTGCAGCCAGCCGCTCCCCCCCCCCCGGAATTGCAGCCACTCTCGCCCCCCAAGGGTCTGCAACCAGTGTCGTCCACCCGGGGTTTCCAGCCAGTCCAGCCTGTCCGAAGTCTGCAGCCGGCCAGCCCCGCCTATGCTCTGCGGCGGGGGTAAATCGAATCTCTGCGGCCAGTCATAATGGGTCTGCACCCGGGCCCAGACAGGCCATACTGTCCTATTCATGCATGAAATAACTACAATTGTAGTACTGTAGTCATGCATGTTTTTACTGTAGCGAGTCCTCAGTAGGGTCACAGATAGAACATGCATGCTACCATGCATGACGTGAAGTGCAAATGTCAAGCACTGCCGCTTCCTGTTGTCATGCATGATCAGATACCATGCATGCCCAACGCTGAGCGCTCGCTGGGGACGCCATGTATGACAATTGTGCGTGCCATGTTTGTCACGGTACTTACCTACGCGGCGGCGGCGCTGTTAGAGCGGTATCCCGCCTTTACATCCCGCCGTCAACCACCGACCCCAAATTTATTTTCATGCACACCATCTCACTATCTCTTTCAGTGTTTACCCTGCCATGTAAGTCTCCGTATACTGCTCTCAATAAATCATTACTGATTTACTCATTAGTCTGGTCCATCTCAATGCTCATTGCTCGGTGCTCAGGCGACCAGGCCTCAGGCCTTCCCACCCCTTCGCTTACCACCCCACGCCTTCCCGCAATTCCTTTAAACCATGCCTCGCCGTGTCAACCTCAATGACCCATTGCACCTGTCAAGCACTGTACAATCATTGACCAGGGTCCAATCATCTCCCCTGCCATTGGTCGCTGCCTTTTGCAGTATGGCCACACTTTCTGCCCTGTATGACCTCCCTCCCTTGCCGCATGCACCAGTCATTTTGTCACTGGCCAATAGTGCATCCTCATTGGCATTTGTTTGATTGTACGAGCCTTTTGAGGTGCATCCGCTGCACCTGCCATTGAGTGCTTCGATGGTATGTACTTTAAGCTTTGTGCGTGGCGATTTTCTCTTCATTCCTTACATGCACGCTCTCGTTGCCGTAGTGGTACATTGTTTTGTCGGCCAAGTTTTCTTGGGTTTGAAATATAATGCATCCCTTTGCCATGCTGAATATCAGACTCGGATAAAGGTCAAAAATACATTACGTGCTATACTGTCATGACTGGATTATGAATATATGGATTGTACTCGAAGATTCGTGTGACCAGGGGAATGAGCGCAATCTCTATATAAATCTCCCAAGAATGTGCGCTGAGGAAAGAAACATACATAACACATTATTACTATAGTGTATCACACTTGTTCTACATGAGACTACATATAGCTCATCGTCACCTTCGCTGATCTCGATATTTTGTACAGTGAAATATTGTTGAGATATGTTCTTGAGCTTTGCACTATATACCACTCATGCCTTGGAACTCAAATAAGTCAGTAGACGTTACAACACCATTTACGGTAATTTACCACAGCATCTCTTCAACCATTCAACGTCTCTTGAACATTCCTACATGGCAAAAGCACCCCGTACTCTGACCGCCCTGTTCTTCCTATGGGTGGCGAACCTGTTGACTGGAAGGACTCTTTAATTTTCCTCCCTTATGGTGACTGTTTTCACTGGCACCGCAAGAACTTCCATGATCATCACATCATTGGCAGCCGCACCACAGTGGATGCATACAGCGAGATCGAGGAGGTCGCGACTCGTCAATTCTTGAAGTGCGTGCTTGCAAAACCCGATGAACCGCAGGAGCACATCCGACAGTATGCAATATTTATCCTCTCATTGATATGGTGTTGAATTCTTGATTTTTTTAGTGTTGTTCATCAGCAAACGTGCAGGTGCCTGGGCGCACCTGGTGAGTACCTGGACGTCCTGGCGGCGACCTGGATGGTCTGGCGGCCTGGAGGGTGATTACTTCTCACGTATGCCAAACTTGACTGAAGCAAAACTTTGATTGAGATCTACTAGCTACTCCCTACCATGAATTCCTTGTACATTAGATACAACATGTATACTTAGAACACAATTTCATGTGCATGATGATCTGCATACTTATTTACATAGTAAGAATTGAACACGTCAAGAGAATGAGCAAAATGAAAACCATCGGGGAGGGGACCGCTGCCAAAGACGGGGATGAGATGAGCACTTCGAAGAATGGTATCGACATGCTCCACAGACTGAACACGAGCTCCGTGTGCACCAGTAATCTCGGGCTTCACCTTCCACATGCCCGTCACTGAATCTGGGCCTCTCCCCATCCATGAAAACCTGTCGATCAACACACAAGGGTATGTCACACCCTCAAAATGAAAAGAAAAGAAAAGCTTAACACGGCCAATGATCATGCCCCTCATACCAGTTTTTTCCTGGTCCTCGACGATGAAGACACAGTCGTGTCGTGGATCCTTACGGCGCCACGACGGAGTGCATCGAATTGACTCGCGACGCATGCCGTGAGTCCCAGATATGTCGCTTGGAGCCGAGAAAGTGGCTATTGCGGAGTGGAACACAGCAATTGGAGTGTCAATGATGGGTAGTTTCATCCGCAGGGATCAGGTGCACATCATGTTCATAGTTGGGATGTAACTGGTTGAAAAGGAAGTGACGAGCAAGGAGGGGGAGTTTCGGCTGCCGAATATGTGCTGCCAGGGTTTCAAGTGATCGTGGGTAGCCACGTTCTGGGCGACTGCATCAGTACTAGTATAGTAGATCACAACTTGAAAAAATACATACGAGGTGTTCGAGCTAGTATCACGGAGCCT